ATAATACATATTTGGAGGCTCACACTTACTTTTCTAGTTAAATTTTCACATAGAAGTGAAAATAATTTTCGCTGCAAGGTTCTTTCCATTCTGCAAACAACAAACATCTATTTGACGGCGATCGTCTACTGATTGGTTAATCTGCAAAAGGAGGCGCGGTCCACAAGCCGACAATCTCGTCAACAAAAACAGCTATTGCAACTGTTTGCCATAATAATTAAAGCACAAACATACAATATTCGTGTTTCGATAAACAAATTACATCATATGGATACCCGTTTTAGTTAACAGGCATGTATGTAATTTGATTTCATACAGTTTCATCGATAGACGCAGCTTACGGAATCATCGCCATTAATGAATATATGAATACATAATGAGGTCCTTACGGGGTTATCTGCCCCTGACAAAATCTTATCGAAATTGCCTTAACATCGCTGCGTAATACATTATTAATGTGGCTAATTTTGTATGATAAAATGGCTCTTATTTTTCATGTTTTCTAAAAGCCTACCAAACAAATTCAAACCAATTATTTCTATATTGTATCAAAAATATAACAGAAGAAAATCAGATAGATTATAAACGTGCTTTATATTTTAGCATCATTTTGCCTTTGCATTTTCAGGGAAAATAAATCTAAATTGTAAACTGTTCTTGCAACGCTAACTTGCAACGGTTGCTTGAAAGCATAATCGAGTACACAAAATATTGTTGGCTATAAATACGAAAAATATCAACGTGAAATTAATACCACGTTGCGGCTAAAATCCTGAGGAAGAGAGAGGCGCATGCGCAAACGAGAGTAGTGTTTTCCCTGGAGAGGAGATCATCGACAACAAATAGTGTTTTACTAGATCCTGAACACATATATCGACAATATAACTTGTGAACTATCTTCATCATGATCACTTTAGTAACACACAGTAACAGACACTCCACAGTAAACAACATAACTAAATTGAGTGCGAACCTTGCGAGACCCACCATACTATTTTTGCTATCAGACACCGACTCGGTCTTCGACTCAAAAATACATAATGACAAAAAAGCATAAAACTCTACTCATACTGCTCATCCTGCCAGCAAATGACATTCAACAAAATCCAGGACCTGGAAATAAATCATTATTACCTTGCGGAGTGTGTGAAATACCTGAAACATGAAGTCTATTGTAATAATTGTAGTGTATGGTACCACAAAACATGTGGTGACATCATTTCTAGGAATATGTCCTACCTTGAGAAAAGTCACGTAGTTTCGCATTGCTGTAAATGTAACAGTATTAACGTAGACAGCTTCACATATAATAGTTTTATATAACATACAACAAATATGTATGCACCTCTACCAGGCACCGACTCGGTCTTCGACTCATTCACGTCATGTGATCACTTCAGTCCACTGCGTACCAGCAGCCCCAAAACGAGAAAAATGCTTGTCGACAAAATCAACACAGCGCCAAAAGTCAAGTGTAGGAAACAGTAATAAGACAAACACAAATACTACTAAAACTAGCTCGAAATCCACAGTATTTACAAAAAGTACAAACTTAAGGCTAATAACCTTGAATTGTTGCAGCATAAATACTAACAAATCTGAATTTAGGGCATCTGTTGAATATGTAAAACCAGATCTAATATGTGGCACTGAATCGTGGTTAAAAGGCATTAAACCGGGAAAGGAACCCAGAGAAAAACTGTATAAAATATTGTGAAGTTTCCCAGAGAATTACATATTTCACCGTAATGACCGAGACTCCCTTGGAGGAGATGTATTCACAGGTATTAAATCAAACTTGGTATCTGATGAGAAAGTCGAACTTGTCACTGAATGCGAAATTATTTAGACAAAAGTAAAATTACAGAGTATGAAGGACTTATACTTGGCATCATTCTATATGCCACATCGTAACATGAGTGACATCGTTATACTTAAAGAGTCAATAAATAAACTAGCTAACGGTAACAAATATAAACAAATGATCATAGCTGGCGACTTCAACTGCCCTAACGTCGATCGGGAAACCCTCGTAGTTAAACCAGGCGCACAAGACCGGGAAGTACAACAAGCACTATTAGACACCTCTATAGATCTTGGGCTTACTGAAGTACAAAGAGAGCCAACTAGATACAATAACTTACTAGACATTGTCTTCACAAATAATCCATCTTTTGTAAATCTTCAACTAGCATCCCTGGTATCAATGATCATGCTATGGTCATCACAGACTTTGACATAATCCCACACTATATCAAACAGTCAGAGCGTAAGAAAGTCGATTGGGACTCGATCTACGAAGAAATGGAACAACTGTTAACATCCATGGAATCCAAAATCAACACTCCAGTTGAGAAACTATGGTCAACTTTCACCTCCATCATATTCACAATTATCGACAAACACATCCCGTCAAAGGTATGCTCATCCAGAAAATCACTGCCGTGGCACAACAGAAATATAAGCCGAATGTTAAAACGCAAAATAGAACTATATAAGCACGCAAAGCAATCAAAATAGTGGAATGATTACAAAAGCTTCCAGAAAAAGTGCAAAAAAGAATTTAAGAAAGCAGAGATAAACTACATTAACAACACTGTTTACCAAGGTTTACAAGAAAACAACTCAAAACCATTCTGGCGTTATGTTAAATCCAGACGACAGGAAAACATTGGTATACCAGCAATGAAACAGAATGGAACTCTTGTTAACGACAACATAGAGAAGGCATATATACTTCTCAACCAATTTGAATAGGTTTTTACAAAAGACACACTAAACGAAACATCAAACATTGACAAGAAAGTCGATCAGTCAATACCACCATTGACGATAACAACAGAGGGAGTCGCAAAAAAATGTTAAAGAACAGAAAAACAATTTAAAGCCATTGGGCCAGATAACTTACCAAACATCGTCCTGAAAAACTGCTCTAAACAACTAGCACCTGGGCTGAGACACATCTTTCAGCAATCTGTAAACTCAGGCACCCTACCTACAAATTGATTAAATGCGAACATCACTCCTGTATTTAAGAAAGGAAATATTACCATACCAGAGAACTACACACCTGTTTCTCTTATCTGCCATACCTGCAAGCTGCTTGAAAATATTATATGTAAGTATATCCTTAAACACCTAGAAAAGAACCATGTACTCACACCACTCCATCATGGCTTTCGTTCAGTTTTCTCCTGTGAAACCCAACTTTTAACAACTATGAACGACTTACTACAACTTTATGACAAAGGCCACCAGACAGATATTGTGATAATGGGTTTCTCTAAGGCCTTCGACACGGTTCCGCACAAAAGGCTGTTATCCAAACTCGACAGTTATGGTATTGATGGACCAATTCTAGATTGGCCCAACATTTTCCTTACGAAACGATCTATACGAGTCCTGGTAGATGGCGAAAATTCTAACTATGTATGTTTAGCATCAGGAGTACCTCAAGGCACGGTACTTGGACCGCTGCTTTTCCTTTGTCACATTAATGACTTATCTGAAACTGTTAAATCTCAAGTCAGATTATTTGCCGACGATTGCCTACTATATAGGAAAGTCCAAACTCAACAGGACCACCAACTATTACAAAACGACCTTGTATCATTGGAAAAATGGGCCACAAAATGGAGGATGAGATTTAATGTTAAAAAATGGTACAATATGAGCGTCAACAACAAATCATCTCATTTCTACAAACTAGACAATCACATCCTGCAACAGATACAACAAAATCCGTACCTCGGTGTTATAATTTCAGATGATCTGAAATAGAGCGTCCACATTGCTAAAACCGTGAAGAAAGCCAACTCCACTCTAGGCTTCTTGCGACGAAACCTCCGTCACTGACCAAAGAATTGCAGGAAACAAGCCTGTATAGGGCTTATCCGGTCACTGTTAGAATACGCATCAATAGTATGGGACCCTTATTTAATCAATGACATTGATGCATAACACGCGTCCAAAGACAAGTAATGCGTTTCATCAGTGGGGATTATACAAGCAAAGAGGTAGGTAGTATAAGGAGACTTATGAACGAACTAAAACTTCCAACACTTGAAAATAGATGTCGTCACAGTAGAATACAGTAGCTACAAGGTGGTCGGGGAGTTGGTACCAGCTATCCCGCAAGATGTAGTATTATTTAAGGAGAGACCAAAACGTCAAATAAAATCAAAACAATTTAGTGACTATAAAACAACAAACATTGTAGACAAATTTGAACAAAACAACGGCCGGTGTTTCAAAATTCCACCTAGTAAATCTGACAATATAAACAGTCATTCTTTGCAAGAACAATTTCCGATTGGAATAGACTACCATACAATCTCGTGTGTGCCAAAACAATAGAGAGCTTTAAAACTTCGGTTGCTCTCACATCGTTGGACTAATTTTCCAGCGCTTCTCTTCCGTTGCCATTGATGCCATATATTGACCCTGCAACGTACCTAATCAGATTAAGATTCAAATTCCTCCAAACACTTTTGATTGTGATTCATAAAACATACGTTGACATTAATTGTATACATCAATTATCTTTAAAAGTTCAATGACGGGTCCCAGTTCGTACTACGGTTGGTACTATAACAAATCGGGAAACCTTTAAAAGGAATTAGTGACGTTAAATGACTATCTTTACACTTGTGTATGGGCTTGGCAAAAACTATAGAAGATATTGAGAAACTGTAAATTACAAAATACTCAAAAAAGTTGAAATAGTAAGTCATCATTTTATTTAAGTTATTGCCTTTGGATTACTATGATTACCCATTTTTTTTTTGGCAAAACCATAGAAGATAGGGGGAACTGAAAACAGAAAAAAAAATGATCAGCAACAGTAAACAAAAATGAGGTTCTAGTCAGGAATTATAGCCTAGTCTTTAATATTGGAGAGTGGCTATTGTTGAAAGCGCACAGAGAGTAGGGTGAGCGACAAAGGCTCTTTAAAGCCTAAGTTTATCTTTGCTTTATAGATTTGAATGTCTTTTTTTCAGGAGAAGATCTGGATGCCTATGACACTGTTGAAGATGACAATGAACAATCCATATTAAGTAAGTTTACAGTCAGAAGAATTTGCTGGTACATGCTATTTTAACTATGTAAATTAAATGAAATACTCATTTCTTAACACTGGCCTAATTTCGGCGTCAATACTTTTTCTGTCTTTCGGGATTTATAAATCGCAACCAAAATAAACAATCTAAGAAGATTCAAATCAAGTTAATAAACAAAAATGAAGGAACCGCACGAACTCTAAAAGAACGTTAGGTAGACGGCGGTTTAAACAACACACAAATGCTAGTGACATATAGAGGTCACAAAACGTTTTAAAACGGAGTAATTTTTATCTTTAATCAAGAACCTTGTCAATTATTGCTGTTGTCGCAGTTTAAGTTAATTTTAAAATTTTGAAAATCTGAGGGCAGACCTATAAGTACAATGTATGATTGTTTATAGTTTATTTCACAAATTTTATATATAGGGGGACTATTTAGAGCTTGACATGTTGTCTATGGTCGAAGGCAGTATTATGCCCTCAATATGTCTTTTTGCTATTTCTGTCGTTGGGTTGCTATCTAATTGACGTTTATATCACTTTTTCTTTATATCTGAGTATATTGTCTATATTGAATATGATGCTCCGAATTGTGTCGCGTCTATATAAGTTGTAACACAATTAAAACTAGTCTATTAAAGATCTGAAACAACGCATAATTCCCTTACCGACCATAACTTTTGTTACAAATAAAGGCAACCAATGGATAGGTTTCTTACTAGGGACACTCAAATGAACATTTGCTATGTGTTTCTCTATTCTACATTGGCTAGAGGTATAGGGGGAGGGTTGAGATCTCACAAAACATGTTTAACCCCGCCGCATTTTTGCGCCTGTCCCAAGTCAGGAGCCTCTGGCCTTTGTTACTCTTGTATTTTTTTTTTAATTTTAGTGCCTTTATATGTTTTGGAGTTTAATGTGACGTCCATTTTCACTGAACCAGTACACAATTTTATTTAGGGGTCAGCTGAGGACCACCTCCGGGTGCGGGATTTTCTCGCTGCGTTGAAGACCCATTGGTGGCCTTCGGCTGTTATCTGCTCTTTGGTCGGGTTGTTGTCTCTTTGACATATTCCCCATTTCCATTCTCAATTTTATTAATTGGAATGAAAAAAATTGTATATCAATTGTTCTTCTGTTTACTCTTTATTAGCGGTATACCAAAAAGGAAATAGATTTGTTGTTAACATTAGTATATCTTAATTATAATGTTAAATTAAAGCATTGTGTTAGATCACAACATATTTCACTATGATACTTAACAATTAATAAAAAATATTTAGAACCTGTTGTTCATCTTAATGATTTGATACTGCAATGTCATTTCCTTTTTGTATTCAACTTAGTTGAAATTGTCAATTAAGATTTTATTATAATTATCATACAGATTGGTTTTTTTTTTCATTTCAGCGATAATCACTGTAATTGTACTATGTGGATTGGCGACTATTCTCATTGCTGTGTTTTATTATTCAACATCCAGAAAACGTGAGAAAAAAATAGGGTTTATAAATCAAATGTACAATGTATAATACATAAAACGGTATCAATTTTACATATTAACAATGGAGACACTAAAGGGGAATTACAAAACCACAAAATATAGAAGGACCAACAACACTCTAAAGAAAAGGGAAACATATTAACAACAGTACCGATAAAGATAATATTGAAAAATCTAACTACAGTGTTATACTGATAACTGTTAAACACTTTTATTCATTTTTAAAAGTTGTTCACAGTTACATACTGAAAATTTTAATAGTTGGCCTAAGACAGTTTTTACTTTGATGTTAAGGTCCATTTTTATCATAAAGTTCTTCAAATGTTTCAGTTACTATACATCCTTGGCCTCCAAATATTTGGATTTGAGCGTTCCTTATGAAGGTGAAAAAACCGCTTCGGATGCATACAATTTATAACAAGTGTTGTTTTCATTTCTTTTAAGGAACGGTTATCCAAGTCTCTTTCTTCTGGCAACAGTATTAAAACTTTGATTTCTCTACCCTTTACACAACTATTTCTGATTCTAAACTAAAAGACAAATTTAAAGAATTGGCCCTGAATTTTCCCATAAAAAGAATGGCCAACTTTGATACAAGTATGTTTTCTTAGAGAGGCATTAATCGTTCTTTGTAAAAACCATTCGAATTCGAACAAAACATCTCTGAAATTATCAAGATGTTTGATTTCTTGATTCACAATATAGTTGTTACGTGTTTTTCAACAAAACATTCGGCATTCCTATTGAATTCAATTGTGCTTCTTTTCGTGCCGACTTGTTCCTTTATTCATTTGAGAGAGACAATATACAGGGCCTTTTTCGGAACATTAGAAAGTAGCTAGCACTATCCGTTAACTTTACGTTCTGCTTTATAGATGATGTCATTCATTAAATGAGTCAACTTTTGGTCGTTTAGTGACTATGTTGAACTCATCTATTAAAGCAGACTTGAAATAAAGTAACAACAGATATAGCTATGTGTGCCTCATATCTTGACTTCCATCTTAAAATTGACTATAAAGGTCGGTTGAAAACAAAACTTTACAACAAAAGGGATTATTTCAGTTTCCCACATTGTGACCATTCTATTTCTACATTGCAACATTTCAGCAGCCCCTAGCTGAAAACACAATTACTGATATGAAATTATGGTGGTATCATAAAGTTATCCTCTATCTATTTAGTGTACAAGTCCACTCCTATTTCATTGTTATTAATAGATGTAAATGACATATAAGTTTAGCTTGTATGTCATTATGAAAAGAGGCAACGCTTATTATATACTTAAAAAACATTTTTCAATTCAAAATCTGAACTGATTATAATAATCTTTGCTCATTACAGGTGAAAAGAAATATGATAAAGCATGCAAAACAAATGAAATGCAAGGTATGTAATATTTTTTTTTCTCTCAGGAAATAATTTGATTATTCATAATGAACACAATTTTTCATCTTATTTATTTTACATCGCAATAGTCATAGTTACTTTGATAAGTGTAAATTTCCCGATAAAATGTTAATGGTATACTGATGAAGGATGCACTCCAATTTCAAGATTTGTGCAATGAGGAAATGTAGAACAGTAATATTGGTATGTGTGTAGCGCATGTCATTGTACTAAGTTCCAGTTTATTTCTTGGTTTTTTTTTATAATAAGAAACTATGATTTTACCATCTGCTTGTAAAGTTTGTTCTTTTTTTTTATTATATTCAGATCTGTTTGAAAACATTTTTCAAATGTTCTATCCAAATATATTGTATTTTTTATCATTTGGGAATGGCTTTTTTTTGTATCCTGTGTGGCCAATTGGAACGAAAAAGTACACAATTAGTTATTAGAAATTGGTTATCACATGACTTTTTATAGATCAGGCACGTTTGATTATTTACCAGAACTATAAATCGTAGACATTACTGAAAGCTATTTCTAAAATAGATATAAGAAGATGTGGTATGAGTGCCAATGAGACAACTCTCCATTCAAGTCAAAATTTATAAAAGTAAACCATTATAGGTCACAGTACGGTCTTCAACACGGAGCTTTGGCTCACACCGAACAGTAAGCTATAAAGGGCCCCAAAAATTACTAGTGTAAAACCATTCAAACGGGAAAACCAACGGTCTAATCTATATAAAAAACGAGAAACACTTATGAACCACATCAACAAACGACAACTACTGAACATCAGATTCCTGACTTAGGACAGGTGCAAACAAATGCAGCGGGTTTAAACGTTTTAATGGTACCAAACCTTCATCCTTTTTCTGAAACAATAGTGTAAAATCACAACATAGAAAGACACACTATAAAATATCAACTGAAATAGCTTAACTCAATCAAAGGACATATTAACACCATTGAACATACACTGAACAAATAAATTTGCCCTATGATACAATGTAAATACAAAATAAATAAACTAAGGGAAGAATAATAATAGTAACATGTTATATCGGTATGAAATGTTAAACAATTAAAGAAAAACAATATGCTCGAACAAAAGTATCAGCCATTTGCAATAACTTTAAACACAGGTAAATGAAATAATTTTTTTGTTAGGTATACGTGTACGGTTCCAATAGAGAAAGGAAATATTTTTACAAAATAAATAATTTTGATGTTCATAGTACGAAGTGCATGAAAATTTATAGTAATACCAAACACTTATCAAAGCTGGTATACAGACCAGATATAACCCTGAATAACATTCAATAACAAAAAAGCAATACAATTAGTATCAACAGGTCAAATAAATAAGAAAGTACGATTTGAGAGTACTCGCAGTTACTGACAGCTATTTAAAAGCCAAAACAATTATTAATAAAAAATCATGCATCAGAGACTAAAATCAACTAAAGCACATCCCAGGGATTTAGTATTTTAACGTCATGGACAGTCAAAGAAGACATGACTAGTGCAATGCCAAAAATAAATGTATCGACAGACAGTAGGATAGTTAGGAGTTTAACCTCTTTATAGATCAAAACGAACGTGGGTGTGTTTTTATACATCCCGTTTGAAAAGAATACAAATTTAGTTATGTTTTAATTTGCTGATGACAAAATCGATATTAGTGCCAATGTAAACTATATTCAAAGATCTAATTACAACATTGGTAAGATAACCTTTACTAATAAGTTTGTTTAAAGGTTCGATGAGTTTACACGGATCGCATAGTGATTTCCGCGCTTTAAGTACAATATTACCGTAAAATTTAGGAAGTGAAATACCGTTTTTAATCAGTTTTCTACAGGTACAGCCAAATTTTCTAATCAAATCTTTGTATCTATGAAAGAATTTAGTAAAAGTTTTACGTAATTTATGGTAACGAAATCCCTGACCTAATAATTTACCAGTGATGCATTGATTACGTTCGTTAAAATCTATGACATCACTACACACACGGGCATAACGAACGAGTTGGGATATATAAACACCGTATGATGGAGCCAAAGGAACATCGCCGTCTAAAAAAAGAAAATTAACAATAGGGAATGAAAAATCGTCTCTTTTGTCGTAAAAGTCTTTTTCCAATTAGCTCTGTACAATATTAGAAGAATTTTAATTGGTAAATTTTCTTTGTCGTTATCGCTAAAGACCAAGTTTTATAGGCCATCTTAATGTAGAAACCCTAAGGAGTTCATACATATATTATATTTAATTTTAAATTTGTAGTTGGTTTTCGAATTACCTTAAGAACCATTTGATGCTTGTCAAGAAAATTAAAAGTGTTGTGTTGTTTGTTTTATTTTCCGAAATTTTTGCTGCTACATCTTTACAATATTTCTTAGGTTCTAACTAATTTGTATTGATTTAAACCACTTTTCCAAGTAAAGACGGCACAGCTGTTTGATATTAAATAGACCCATTTAGAAGACCCATTTGAAAAAGGTTGTTTTAGAGAGATTTTTTAAGCAAACCTTGAAAATTTAAATGAGGGATTACAGAAGACGGTGTGTGTGTGTGTTTGTGTGTGTGTGTTTTTGTGTGTGTGTGTTTGTGTGTGAGATTTACTATCACAAACATGTGCAGAATTCCAGTATCTGCTGAATATGGAGTACATATATCTCACTGTTGAAACAATATTCCCGAGATTGAGTTTCCTATCATGATTTCGGTGATAGGGGGGTGTTGCTTTCAAGGAATCTACTGAACCAGGAATTCTAAGTGGTAAAGTTGAAATTGACCTTTTCCAATTATCTTAGCAACATTCCTGTCTTCTTTTCCTCTAATTTGAAAATTCACCCTTTCGGAAAAAGTAAAATCACAAAAATACTGAACTCCGAGGACAATTCAAAAAGGAAAGTCCCTAATCAAATGGCAAAATCAAAAGCTCAAACACATCAAACGAATGGATAACAACTGTCATATTCCTGACTTGGTACAGGCATTTTCTTATGTAGAAAATGGTGAATTGAACCTGGTTTTATAGCTAGCTAAACCTCTCACTTGTATGGCAGTCGCATCAAATTACATTATATTGACAGCGATGCGTGAACAAATCGAATAGACACAATAGGTAAAAATGTCAAAAATAGGGGTACAGCAGTCAACATTGTGTTATCATCTTAATCACTATAAAAAAAACGAATGTAACAAAGAAGCACAAAAAGGCATACATCAAATTTAACATCCTCATTTTGCTTTTTTTATACGATTTTATTTATCTATGTAAAATCCACCCATAAAGGATGGAAGGTTTTAAGTATTGTCGTTTAAAGTATGACGGGATACAGAGTCACGTCAAATGGATATCACAAAAAACAGACTTAACAGTAAAATAATATTAATAAAGACAAATAAAAGAATACTATAACACGGTATTAAGATGCTAAACAACGTCAGTACGCAGAATCGGAGTGTCTGAGATCACCCCCGTTTTTGGTGAGGTTGATGTTGCTCCGTATTTAGTTTTATGTGTATTTTTATAACGTTTCTTTGTCGATATTTGTCTTTTGTGCCATGGTATTGACCTTATCTAGTCAACTTATGATTTTTGGTTGTCCTGTTTTCATGGTATTTGGTTATGTCCAAGAGAAGGGTTTTTGGTTCAACCATGCACACCACATTGTATAGTGTTAAAATATTTATGTGTTTTTTGCTATGTGTCTTTGAGGAATTAAGATGAAAATAAACCTGCAAAATGCAACATTTTAAAAGATTCTTATGAGTTCAACTTTTCAATTTTAACCTTGTCAAATGGCATTTAAATACAATATCTGAAAACAAACTAAATGCTATGTTGTAGTCAAATAAATGTTTGATACTATTTGATGCATAGTTGACTCCTTTTGTATTTTAGAAATACATATTTATCATTATTATTTATCCTCAATATAGATACAATAAGTTATGACCAGCTAACACGGGTTAGACAAACACTGGATAAAACATTTCTTAATTACTTTAAAATTTTTTATAGATGTACACCTATTGAAACAAGCCCAGACACCATCCACAGCCTGCACACCAGATATTGCTGAACAGCTTCCAGGAGTAGCTATTAATGTTATATTGAAGATGAATGAAAAATTTGTGATTGCTGGATGTATAGGTGATGTGAACAAACAACACAAACTGATTGTCATGAATACTAAAAATAAACAACATGTGTATTATGACCTTGGCGATAAAAAACCGTACAATATAACATTATTGGATGACGATATCGTTGCTCTGTCTTATCCGGGTCAAACTAAGGCAGATATTATGAACCTGAAAACGGGACGTCTGTGTAAAATTAGGGATATTATCAACATTAGATAGCAAAAATAAATTTTATGGATTACATTTTAAATTGGTAAAATCGAGCGGATGACTTCAGATGGATGTACTATAATACATATTGTAACTTTCTTACACATATCGTTCACCAAAAACCGTTAGTTACTCCCGTTTCCCCCAAGTTATAATTCTTATATCTCAAAACCGAGCGCACAAACTTATAAGTGTTATGCTTAATATTACTTCTTAAGCAATGTAGTTTTTAATATAGCAAAATTATTTAGTAACTCAAAAGCAAAATATTTTAAAAGATGTAAAATGGGATGAGGGTTACAGGTTCTGATGCGTACATCTTTCGGAGTGGAATCTTTAAATTAGTGTTGCGTTTTCAGTTATCTTCCGACGCTTGTCACTAGAACACATTAATTTAAAGATGAATATATGAAGGAAAAAGAAACGATATCAAAGACATAAACTAATAAAGTATACGTAAATGCGTAGTTAATTGAATGTGTATTACATTTGTAAATGTATGTACATTGTACTAGTAATTCAATTGAATTTGAATATAACAAAATGATATATGTAGCATGTATTCCTCCAGCGAAAAAAAAGTATTTAGAAAAATCCCGACCTCCAAGGTAAATTCAAAAAGGGGAAGTCCATAAACCTGACAAAATCAAATGCTTGAATATATCAGCCAACAGAACGAATGGAAAACAACTGCCAACTTCATGACGCTGTACGGGCATTTACTGAAGAAAACGTCGGGTTGAAACTGGTTTTATAGCTCGCTTAACCTACCACTTGTACGACAGTTGTTTATAGTTCCATTATATTGATAAAATTGGATGAGCAACCACAACAGACATATTTGGTAAACGTGACCATTACTAGTTGCCAGCAGCCAAACTGTAAACATACATAACACACATACATAACAACTGACTTAACAAATTTAAACAAACATATTCAAAATCTGACAAAGACGCCAACAACAAAAAAATGTGTGGTTGATAGTACATACAGTATAGTAAACTATAATCACATATATATATATCCTTTCCCAATAAAGTACACAAGAGTATAAAAGATGAAAACAACATTATTAAAAGCGCATGCGTCCGAATCGAATATCGGGACACACCCGCATCAGGAACGCCCAAAGCCAAACAAACCTGAAAGCTGGATGTACAAATACCGCGCCATGTTTGAATCTTACGACCAAAAGATAAGTGAAAGTACAAAGACAAATAAAGTGAAAATTGTAAGGTTAATAAAATGATACAATACGCTAGCACATAGAATCTATAACTCAAGACCATCCTGTATTTTTGTGGAGTAGGCATTGAATATTGATCTACTAGTATAAGGTCTTAGAACTTTCCGATGAACTTTTATAGAAAAAGGACTAGAAATTCTTAGACAAAAGTCTGGCTCATTATTTTTTTGCTCAGACACCGATATAATCAATTAACACGTAAACTGAATTAGAAAAAAGGAACAGAATTGTAAAATGAACACTTAATGGTGGTAATATAAAAAAATAATGTATATCGAAACAATACTGCATCCTCTATTTATATGTACATGGTTAAACAAGTAGACATTTTTAACAGTGTGTGATGTTAATCTGATAGATAATTCATTTCATTTTTCACTCATTATTCCAACAAAGGAACAATTGCCCATACAATGGTATTGCATCATTTTAGAAAAATCAAAAACAAAAAACAAAAAACGAAAGTGTTTTCGTTTTTCATTTTTATTTCTCACAAACCAAAACGAAAAACAAACGTGTTTTCGTTTTTCGTTTTTCGATTTCTCAAAAACAAAAACGAAAAACGAAGTTTTTCGTTCTTTGTTTTTGATATCTTAAAACAAAAAATGAAAAATGGAAGTGTTTTCGTTTTTCGATTTTGATATCACAAAACAAAAACGAAAAACGACAGTTTGTTTCAATTTCTGTATTTAGTTCTATGTATTTCTCGTTTAAATATTAAGAATGTGTATAAATCTTGTTTCATAGTCATTAAAATTGAAAAATGTCAACGTAGTTTGTTGTCTAACAAGCAATATCGGCATGTAGTTGTCAAAGACCGCCTGACTTATGAATTGAAATAAGAGGATCAATGAAACAAAGACTTACAAATTTTCTTTTTTTTTTATCTATAATAAGAAATAGCATTGTAATATTTAAATATTAAATGGATTACAAATTTAAATTATACAATGAAATATACTATAAAGAAGGTAAAAATATGTATATTTCATTATTATATCACATTAATAAGGGAAATACTACCTAACTCACAGGAAAACTAGCCCGGCCGTTAAAGTATACACAGTGGCTATCAGATCAATATTATTTAAGCCGACGAATGAAAAAGACTTTAACAATCTTCACAATTAGGATGCATGATCTATACTTTTACGTTTTGGAAGGTTAGTAGAATCGAAAATAATTAGAACTGATGAATAAGGTCCATCAGGCAATATTACACGAACATTCTGGATTGTAATCTGTTAAATCGTATTCACATCAATTAAAAAACAGTTCACGCTTCAAATCGGGGATTAACATGTAGTAATGTATTTCTCGTTTAAATATTAAGAATGTGTATAAATCTTGTTTCATAGTCATTAAAATTGAAAAATGTCAACGTAGTTTGTTGTCTAACAAGCAATATCGGCATGTAGTTGTCAAAGACCGCCTGACTTATGAATTGAAATAAGATGATCAATGAAACAAAGACTTACAAATTTTCTTCTTTTTTTTTATCTATAATAAGAAATAGCATTGTAATATTTAAATATTAAATGGATTACAAATTTAAATTATACAATGAAATATACTATAAAGAAGGTAAAAATATGTATATTTCATTATTATATCACATTAATAAGGGAAATACTACCTAACTCACAGGAAAACTAGCCCGGCCGTTAAAGTATACACAGTGGCTATCAGATCAATATTATTTAAGCCGACGAATGAAAAAGACTTTAACAATCTTCACAATTAGGATGCATGATCTATACTTTTACGTTTTGGAAGGTTAGTAGAATCGAAAATAATTAGAACTGATGAATAATGTCCATCAGGCAATATTACACGAACATTCTGGATTGTAATCTGTTAAATCGTATTCACATCAATTAAAAAACAGTTCACGCTTCAAATCGGGGATTAACATACCATCTTAAGATGAGATGATGATGAGTCACCAGGAAGCGAAAGAAGATAAGTAACCATACTCTGGCACATTATTGAAGCTCACGCCTTAATTGATAGGTAAAAAAAATAGAGAGAGGACGTATGATTGCCAATAACAATCTATCAAAGACCAAATAACGTCGATATAAGCTATAGGTCACCGTAGAGCATTAATAAATTTGTAAAACCCATACCGAAATAGGCCCCGAATGGCAAAATTGGAAAACTTTATCACTTTATTGCGTCCGAAGCACTTTTCGAGTTTAACCTTGATCAGGAGAGTCAGCCGGGGGAAAACAACAGTACATTTCACTTGTTGGTATTCTAGTGATTCTATTCTTTAATAACTTTTTTTTTGCGTGGTTCTTTTAAAATTATTTGTTTTTTGTTATACCAGGTCAGATTTTTTTTTCAAAACCCGTCTGCCACCCCTATATCCCGCGCAAAATGTCAAATGGTCGCCCCTGTATGATAAACAATAAACGAAAAAAAAACATATATGACAGACAGCAACCGACGACAACATCACAATTAAAGGCTCCTGACTTCGGACAGGCCCACAAAGATTGTGATTGGGTTGAATATGTATTTGAGTGCTACCCCCCCTCACACACCTGGGTGGTGTAAAATCACTACCTCAGAAGAAAGGGTTTTTTTTCACATGTAACCACTTAAAAAGTTGGAAAAATAACATGTTTCTTCGGTATAAATGATCGATGAATTAAAAAGTTCATATACAAAACAAATATCAAAATTTAGACAATATACATGCAATAACTACAAAGTGGATACAGTAAATTTGTGATAGAGTAGTTATTGATTGATTGATTGATTGATTGATTGATTGATTGATTGATTGATTGATTGATTGATTGGTTGATTGGTTGATTGATTTAATTAATTGATAGATTGATTGATTCATTGGTTGGTACTTGCTCATGTAACTCCGAACGAAAGTCATAACCAATTGAGAATTATCTTTTAATTATTATAATTTTTATATGTACTATTCTAATAATGTTGTCGTCTTAATTTCACCAATGAAATTTACACTAAATGTTGCCTGTGTATTAAATTATTTTGTGAACTTCTTGGAATTCCATAATGACCATCCGATTACAATGGGATCCGCAAGAATATGAAAAATGAACATGTACTTATCCTTCAATAACTCGATTATGCCTCAACTTTTTTTTAATGTGGGTATCCACTTTCTTAAGTTAGAGCTCTATTTTTGACTTTTTTGCAAACTACAATAAATTTCAGATAATGATTCTGCATAAAATCCCCATGAGAAAGCACAGTTTTTGGCAGAATTTTCTTAACGTATATTGGAATCCAACGACTTTTTATAATGTTGTAACCTGTAATGTAAAGATGTGAAATTGATTTATATTAAACACATACTATTTAGAAAGTAAAAGAAGAAGATGTTTTATTTTCCATCAAATGGGGTCACAAAACGCATATTACAAGATAAGACATTATTTTAATAAAACAATAATCAAGTATACGCAGAAAAAACAGTTTCAAGATTCAAGATTCTTTAATTCTTAAACACCATATAATTACAATGGTATTAAGAAGTTCATCAAAAGTTATAAAATGACATAAACACACATGACAAGATGGGATGAAAAAAAATATAATAATAATAAAACATTAGTGACGACGAGTGGTGATTAACCAGGAAGACTCACTTGAAAAGTTGGTGTCTTCCTGGAATGCCTACATTTCGTACAAAATCTATTCCTCGAATGCCTACAAAAAAAATTGAATAGATGTTGTTTTAATAAATTGGTGTTGTTTTAGAACAAAATTTGATAATTAGGAAAAGAGTAGTTTAAAGGTAAAAATTATTTTTCACCATAAAAATATATATTTTTTTTAATAAAAATTTAATTTAAATGAAATGGAATAATGATATTAACTTTTAAGTTAAAAATTGATATTAAGGAAAATAGTATTAAAATGCAAAGTAAGAAATTAAAATTGAAACAAATAAATGAAAGAACGACTGTTTTAATATAAAAATAAGAAGATGTTGTATGATTGCTAATGAGACAACTCTCCACAAGAGACCAAATGACACAGAAATTAACAATTATAGGTCAACGTACGGCCTTCAACAATGAATAAAACCCATACCACATAGTCAGCTATAAAAGGACCCGAAATGACAAATGTATTTAACAATTCAAACGAGAATAACAACTAATAAAAAAATCATGCATATAAGACTTAAATAGTACATTTATAAATAAAAATCATATAAATTTTAAAGTATTATTCATAGAAATATTTAATGTATGAGCAAACCAATAAGCGAAAATACAGGGAAATTAAAGATAGACTCTTCAACCTAAAGATCCGATACCAGAACGTACTAGAGATTTCGACAGTTCAGTTTGTAGGTGCTGTTCCATACCTCCTTCATTAGGACTAAATTGACAATATGGTGTATACTTGTGATGGCAATATGTGACTATATTCATGTTGTAAATTTCAAAGACATGTATGTTTAATTTATTTGTTATTGTGACAAGTGCTTTGATATTTATGTGCTTTTTTTCTTATCTTGAATATTATCTATATTCTTGATCATGAACACGAATAAATATATATTCATCTTTCGTTTACATTTACTTAGCTGTCAAAGAAGAGTGTTTTTATCATTCCTTAAAAAAATCATTTCAAACATATATACAGAAAAAAATACAAAATATTAGTTTATTGCAAACAAACAGGAAAATAAGAATTTTACCTGAAATTTTAATTGGGAAACTCAGCTTACCTGCACAGATTATAATTACTGTTTGATTTGACTACACTTAAGGTTCATCATAACTTTTTGGCTACTATGGCCGTATTTACACCACAAATTTTAATCTGAGTACAGACAAACCTATGCACCTTCAGAAAATTATAAACTTTTCTGGATTTTGCTATTCATTTTTTTTTTTCATTCCTGCAGAAGGTGCCAAAATAAACTAAGTTGGGAAAGAGGTTTGAGAAGCTCTCCTTATATAATAAATGTTATGAGTAGTATTGATTTAAATGGACAATAGATGGACAATAGACATCTGCAAACAATAGGTGATTTAAACTGTATAACTGAGTGGACCGTATCAAATGAAACTCATGTGTTTGTTTATTTTGCTATCTTCTGCAGACTGGAAAAAAATGCATATCACAATCCAGGTAAGTTTTTAATTTTCTGAAACATAGACTACATATAACTTTTATATATCTAGGTCCTGCCATGCCTTAAAACTTTCCTAGATGTATCAGGTTGTCTGTACTCATAGTAGATTTTGTGGTGTAAACACGGCCATATTTTTCAATTCCTTTTGATGAACCTTAATTTTAATAAGACACTATTCCCCGAATGCCTACATTTTTCTACTTGTATTTTGTCGGCAGATCAAAAGGTGTAGGCATTGAAGGAATAAACCGAAAATTTATACATCTGATAAATTTGCACAGCTTTTTTAATTTATTTTTGTATTTTAACTGAAACAGTTTTCTAAACTTTAGTATATTAATTCTGTGCAAGAAAAAAGTATCCAATATTGTGCTCGAACATTTGCCAAAAAACTACACTGCAAAAT